GCTGAAATTAAATTTTTGCCGACCAAACTTTTGGTCGCCAAAGATAAATAATAAATTTTTATTTTTCATTCAACGACTAAATTATTTTAGTCGCCAAAACTATCTATACCACGACTAATGTATTTTTTAGTTGCTGAATTTTAATCTTTCCCGACCAAACTTTTGGTCGCCAAATGTCAAGTTTCGGCGACAAACCATGCCAGAATCATTAAAACATGAACAAGAAGACAATGGAGCTACCTTAAGTCTTGTATTTAGGATAGGGAAGCTCAATTGTACAAAACTCCTTCAATTCTTCAAGATAAATCAACAAGAACAATTCCCTCTCTCCCTAACTCTCTTCTTGGTTGGTTAAGCACAAGAAATGAGCTGATGAAATGTTTTGATTGAAGTGTATACAAGGCTCAACATGTGTGAAGTAGTGGCCACTAAGTGGTCTAATGGTAATTAAGTCCAACTCTTTAATTAGCTTAATTTAATCTAATTTAATCATACCTAATCAGTTTTCAGGTAAATACACCATAAAATCACATTAATCATGAGGATCATAAAACACTAATCGGTTTCTAATTCGGCCGCCGATAAGGCCTTCAATTAGCAGTTTAAACATATAAGCATGAACAGATAATCATACAGCCAAACAGATAGAATGCAATTTAACTAACATATACTCAATCAATTCGGTTTCTAATTTCAGTCAGTCAGTTCAGTACTTTTAATCAGTTCAACTATCAGTCAGTTATCAGTCATTATCAGTTCCGTTTAACAGTAATCGGTGATTATCGGTAATCAATCAGTCATTAATCAGTAAACAGTATGAGGGTTGTTACGAAATGACATGATACAATGCCATGAATCTGAGAAGGGAGAAAACACAGAGCATGAGCATGAGCCATGATTGCTTAAATAGAGCAACAAAAACACTACATTTCAAGGTATACCTCCCAAACATGACAAGAATAGTATCAAAGGCGAGCCTTCCTCTAGATTGTCTTGTAACCTCATTCCACACATTATCAAACTCTTTCATTCTAATGCTATTTGGAGGCTAGAAGTAGTGAACCTGCATATTAATCAAATTTTAACTACATAAAAGAGATTTAAACACAGAGTTGCATGGAATAGCTATTAATTTTCATTTGTTTCATTATGTTTTGTCAATAAGCTAAGAAACAAAAACTTGGTGGCCTCTGGCCATATAAAAAAAAGAAAAAAAGAAAAAAAAAGAAAACTAATTTATGGGGGAGATAAGCAAACAAGAAGGTAGAGCAACTAGACCTGACATCAAATTTTTTTTTTCCCTCGCATCTAACAGCAACATTCAACTTACACAAAATTCACAAACCAACCATACAAACTAGGCCTCATTTTAACACAAATACTTTGGACTAGGAAGGACAAACAAAAAAAATATTTCAAATTGGTCAATACCATACACTACAAGGAATTAGCCTTTTAGAGACCAATATTTAAGGACTAATTAAATTTGGTCGCTAAAAATAATCTTTTAGGGACAATTTTAAAAGCATGATAATTTACATATAAGATTGTAAAAATAACTATTAATATTCTCACTTAATATTTACATAATTTTTTTAGACCAATAAATTTGGTTGCTAATATGTTATTAATATCTTTAGGGACCAAATATTTCCATCATTATCCATTAAAAACATTTTGGGACGAAATATTTTTATCATTTTAACGATTAAAAAGTCGGGGCCACACTTCAGTCATAACTTGCTCATTCCCTCCTCTTCAACGGGTTGCTCAATCTTCAGCCGTAAAGTTGAGAGCTCCAAGGCAGATTGGGAGCTCATCGTCTTCAAATTTTGGTGCTTCTCTCTCGCTCTCTCTCTGTAATCGATCTCCATAATCAACCTGTAAGAGCTCCAATTCGAACTTTCAATTTCTTATCGTAATCGATCTCCGTAATCGACCTGTAAGAGCTCCAATTCGAACTTTCAATTTCTTATCGTAATCGATCTCCGTAATCGACCTGTAAGAGCTCCAATTCGAACTTTCAATTTCTTATCGTAATCGATCTCCGTAATCGACCTGTAAGAGCTCCAATTCGAACTTTCAATTTCTTATCGTAATCGATCTCCGTAATCGACCTGTAAGAGCTCCAATTCGAACTTTCAATTTCTTATTATTTCATAGATTGAACTTTTTTTTTATTGTTTCAGTGAGTTTTCAGGTGTTACACTGTCATTTTCTATTTTTTGATTTTCAATTTCTGACTGTTACATAGATTGAACTTGTGTGTGTATATATATATGGCCTTCTTCTCTGTTTTCTCTCACTAAGAATAAGAATGATGAATGAATCGTCTATCACTGGGCCATATGTATCAAACTCTCCATATGTTGGTCAATCTCTTCCTAGACATGGAGCTGTGAAGATGCCATTTCTTTGACAATAAGTAGGCATCCATGTTTTTAGCTTCACTTGTATAGTTGTATGCATTTCCCTAGAATGCTGATTCAACTTTGACTTGTAGTTGAAGAGAGGATGACAAAAGAAGGATCTAACTATCATTTAACACATACTACCTTTTAGCATATAAGGATTTGTAATGTCTACTATATTATGCACTGATGTGTGCCATAGAACTTGGCAGAAATCGAAGTAAAATGATGTGGTTTGTTGTTAAAACTATTCTATAATAGTTGTGGAATATCTGTGCAACAGCTTGATTTTTAAAATTTTAGCTATTTAAGGCTGTTACCTCTTAAATTGACACAATTTAAAATGGCTGAAAAATTCTTATGATATCCATTGACAAAATGGCCGACAAATGTAGATGTAAATATAAGTGGAATTTTTAATTGAATAATGAATTGTAAGGTTCTGAAAACTATGCTTATTAGTTGTTGTATCTCTTTCTATGACACTACTTTATTGAAGGCTAAAGAGATTTACGACAACATGATGTATATTTTAGATGGTTGCATGAAATGAGATTTTTGCTTTCTACTTGCATGTTGGTACTTGTCAGTATAATCATAATTAGTTGACAAGTACAGTCAAGTGTTCTTTTGATATATCATATATATTATTTTGCTAATTATATTATCCTATACACTCATCTCCACTTGAGATCATAATGTAATTGTGGGTTTTAGTCATCAGACTATAGTTACGTTACATTTTTGTAGTTGAACTTGTGAATAATTTTCTGATAGTTTCTGTTGTGATTGATGTTGGACACAAACATGTGCTGGACATGCTCTGGATACATTTCAGACATGCTGGAGAGACTTGGACACACTGTGTCAGTTAGGACATGATGGGGACATGTTGTAGGCACGTGGGGACACACTGCGACCATTTTTTAATAATATATGTATATATTTCTAATACTGAAATAGCATATCCAAGGTCAATGAATTTAATGAAATTAAATATTTGATACAAGTAAATATATAATATTAAGAAATATGACATGATAAATATATAAAGTTTATATGTTTTGCATGTTACCAAAATGTTGGATTCTGCATTTTTTGAAAATTTACGAGTTGTCGTGTATGTGTCCGCGCTTCTTAGTGTCCTCAACTTATACAAAATATATATATTATATGCTCTTCGTGGCTCGCTGTAGGAACTGAACAATTTAAAATTGAAGATCAACGAAGATGAAAAGGTTCACCACTCCATGTATTTGCTACATGCACTTATTCCATTTCTGAAACATTTCAATCAAGAGCAATTGATGGAGAAGGAAATAGAGGCCAAGATTCAAGGTAGTAATTCTTTGGTTTTGTGTAACATAAAAACTCTATAATTATGTTTTCCTATTAAAGCGATGAAATGGAGGTCACTGCAATGAGTACAGAGATATTGAATAGAATAATAGAATTGTGATTTCGGCGATCAATGTTTAAAAGATGTTAGTAATTTTGGTCCTGATGCGGTGGTGACCAAAACTTTTTTCTTATTTGAAACTAAGATAGTGATTTCATATGGATGTGAGAGTTGCACATGCACTTGCACTGTCTATAAGATGGATTTGCCATGCTATTTGATTGGCTTCACTGTAGAAGTGCTTTCTTTTTCATCCATTTCACTTCATTTAATTTGTTCATTTCAATGGTTGTAGATAGCTATCCTGATTTCACTGATAGTTACTTCAATTTGCCATGTTTATACTCTTTTTTTTTCAATAAAAATTTTAGGGATTATATTCTAAAAGGCCTTTAGGAGAAAATGTTCAATTTACTAATGCTTCTTCATAGTTGCTTTAACACTTGTTCGTTCAATTAATATTCCAATCCAAAGCCTATGAGATCAAGCAATTATTTGCTAGTTGTATGTTTGTTTGGCCAGGGTTATCATTAGCAGCATTAGAGCTATAAAAGGCAGCTTGTGAAAAGGATGAGTCTGTTTATTGATAGGTTTCATGAAAATTTTCTTCTTTATGTTAAATATTTCTTAATTTTTGCGTAATGATATCACATATTTTGTGCAGCAACTACTGTAAAACTTTTGTTGTTGATTTCCACAGAAGCTGTCCAAACTGTTTTTATGACCTTTGCCTTACTTGTTGCCGGGAGGTCCGTGATGGTCACTTGCAGGGAGGTGGGAAGGAAGTAATCTTATTATACAATATTTTCTTATTTGGTTAGTTAAACACATTTTCGATAGCTGTACAAGAGCTGAAAAAGCATCAGCTGAGCACTGATGCCTCAGGTGTTCTACTTGGTGCTTGTTTTTCTATTTTCTTATTTGGTTAGTTAAACACATTTTCGATGACAAAAGATCTAAGTAGTGTTTGGAGCATATTAAACAAATTTTCAGATGTTTGCTTCATATATGTATGACAAAATATCTAAGTAGTGTTTGACTTTATATTAAATTATGTTTGCTTCATACCCGTATGGCTCCAAAGGCATCAAATCTTATTATACAATGAGTTTAGTTAACCTAAAAATTTGTGGTCAATGGTTGTCTTTGGCATGTTGTCAATATGCCACAAAATTTGAACAAAAGTCAGTGTTCCTTTATGAAGTAGCTGCAAGTCATTTTTGTGATATCATTGGCTTTGTGTGAATTCTTGTTTTTTTTTTTTTTTGAAAAGTGTTCCTTCCACAACCAGCTACATGGAATTCCATTGTCCACCCAACTATGATTTTTCCTGCATGCACGAGGGGAAATTTGACAATGTTAGAAGTTGTAGTTGTCTTCTTTTGAAACCTGCTTCTGTATTTTGCTCTTTCCTCTTGTTCATTAACATTGCAGTGTTCTCATTTCCTCTTAGAATTGAAGATATATTCTCATTAAGTGGGTATTGACTGCAGGAAGAGGCTTCTTCATTCTCTTGCACTGGTTTTTGGTTGTATAATTGCTTCATCTTTGGTATGTATTTCAATGAGCTCTTTCCTCTTCTTTATTTTTATTTTTGTTAGTAATTATTATTATTTTTGGCCATGTTGGTGGATTCTGAACTGGTTTCCTCCTTGCCTTTATTTTGCTGCTTTGTCATCAGTTTGGATGGGTAGACTGTTTTAAAGAAATATTTGACTTCTAAAAAATGACTCAAACTTTTCATTATTTTTTTTGTTACTGTTTATTTATTTATGTTTTATATATAAAAAAAAAGATGAAACACAAAAACGACAAAATAAAATCAACATTTTCATTATTTTCCAACTTATTTTTTTATTTAACTACCATTAGAATCCGAAATACCAATGAGATATTATGTGTCCTGATGTTTTGCTTTTGTTTTATGTGGTGTGTCTTGGCAATACATCCCTGAATTTTTGTTTGTCAAAAGATAGATTTGAATCACATAGTGAAAAGTAGATATACATATTAGTGAAACTTCTTCAAGAATTTAGCTGTGTTTCTCCCTTAAGACCACATATAGAAAGTAACTAGATATTGGAATTTAAGGATAATGTCTTTGTGTACTACATAATAGGGATTTCGGGATGGATAGGAGTTGGATGCAACTTTATAATAGAAGGTTACATCAATACATTGATGGGGTAAAAGAGTTTATCATGTTAGTATTGTTTCACACTTAAACATTTCAATTAGCTCTCTTGGTAGATAGTGTTGCTTCTGTGAATCATTATCACTTGTTAGTAGATCTTGTGGGATTTGAAAATCTTGGTTTGTTTGTGTTAATTATTTGTAGTTTTTGCTGCTTGGAAGTGTATGAGGGATATTACCTATAGAATTAGCCAGATGAATCGACTAGATTTAGTGCTTCTTGGTTCTCTTTTATATACTTTTCTGCTATTGTAGACCTGCTATATAGAGAGATAAGTTTATAAAATATCAACTTTGAAAGGGTTGATTATGATAATATGCTTGGATTATGATAACCTTATTGTATTGATTCTAGGTGACTCATTTTCTTGTTGTGTTGATTCTTATTATAGCTCACTACTACTACAAGTACACTGAGATAATTTGTTTTTTCATTATTTGTAATTTATTTGATTATGAATGACTATTGATTATTTAATGAGTTTATGTTGTGTTGATTCTTATTATTTGATTCTTCTTTTTGAATTTTGGGTTGCAGGGATGTCCAAAGGGTGTCACACCTAAGTACAACTTGAAGCCTCTTGTGCCAATGCTGTTTGATATAAAACATGACATTGATGTTGAGAAAATGCTTTTTTAGATATTCTCGTTGAAGAAACTGCTGCTATTTTTCATTTGAACGGTTACTAATTTGATTTGAATTTGGAAACTTTCAGTTTTAATTTTTGTAAAATTTTACTTTTTATATACTCATTGTGGTTTGCGAATAAAATGTTTTTGATGTGTGGATGTCAATTTTTTTTAATATGATTGGATGACATTTAATTTTGTGCATTTTTAGCTATAAAATTAAATGATTACAAAATTCTTAACTTTGATTTTTAGCGACGAAAATGTGTTGTAGAGAAAGTTATATCTTTTAGCGACCAAATATCATTGTCGTTAACAATACCATTATTTTGTTTTTCGCGACCAAATTGGGACATTTTACGACGAAGTATTAGCGACCAAATGTTTAGTCTTGTAAAATTAAATATTTTGTGACAATATAAACTTGGTCGCTAATTGTCATTTTTAGTGACATTTTCAAAAATTCGTCGCTAAAGACTTTTCTAGACGCACTATTAGTGACTTTTTTAGTGACAAAATTAATTTTGTCAGAAAAATCATTTAGAGACCAAAATAGTAGTTTTAGGGACCAAAATATTTGGTCGCCAAAAGGCTTATTTGTTGTAGTGATATTGTAAACAACTGCGCTTCATGATACCCACATACATGGTAGCAAACAAAAAATTCCGAGCACATGATGCCGGCACTTGAAATAGTGGAACATTATATGTTGTGATGTAGTTTTATGTAAAAATAAAATAAAACTAACAAAATTACATTACACAGTGCTGAACTAACAATTTGCCAACAAATTCTACCAGTTGATGTCTGAACATTGAAAAATCATAGAAAATCAAATCTAAATGCTCCAGTTTATTTTGCAGGTTTATTATTAATTCGGGTCACTCTAATCTAAGGTCTTAACAAAACATGAAATAGTTCATATTCATCTAATGCAAGGTGGATATACAAGAGACCAACACATTTTAAAATAATGAAGACGTTGACAAAGCTAACATATAAAAGTCATGTTGACTACTTTTTGGTCACATAAATAAATGAATTATATAAAAAAAATTTAAAAAAATCAAACAAAATATTTTAAAGGTTCATAGAAATCTAAGTTTGGCTTAGGCAGTTAGGAAACCAGTCACATATCAATAATCACTATGAGGATTGATAAAAATTATAGCAGCTCAGCAACTAACATTAGTAAGATAAAAAAAGCCCCATTTTCTAGAGCTAAAATGGTTCCAACTTTCAAGAAAAATTGATTTCCTTTGCTCTTATTTCTCAAAGAATCAAGATATGAAAAGACCTAGAATCAAGATATGGTTCCAGCTCAGCAACTAACATCAGTAATATTATGAATTCAAACTTAATTACAAAATTACTCAAAATCATCATCTTGTGATTTAAATTTATTCTACATATAGATCTCATATCATACAAATTTAATTTTCACTGTACAACCATCTACTCAGAAAATTTTGGATGGATAAATCTGATTGTAATGTATATATAAACACATACTACAATGAATCCCATCTATGCATCCATTCATGTATGTATACATAATACACCATGTGCATGCTCGATGAAGTAATATAAAAATCAACCAGTTAAATGTAAGAATTTAGATGGAGAAAAAAGAAAACTAAAAGAAATTGAAATTTGAAATCTAAATTAGAGAAAGATGAAAAAGAAAATAATAAGACAAAGTTCACATTAAATTGAATTATAGACTTTATATAATATAATAGATTGATATATACATTGTATGTCAAGAATGACTCACACAAATTAATTGTTGTTGCAGCTTCGAGTCTCAGCCATGATTAGCAATTCTCCATACATACTAGTTTTGGACTGTGACATGTATTGCAACGATCCATCATCAGCTCGTCAAGCAATGTGTTTTCATCTTGATCCCAAGATGTCTCCTTTAAAAAAACTAGCATTCGTTCAATTTCCTCAAAAATTTCACAACATTAGCAAGACTGACATCTATGACAGCCAATTAAGATACGTATTCACGGTACATACATGATATGTTATTGTCTGATTAAAAAATTCTTACCTTCAAGGACATCATGATTATAAGATAATAAAATCATCATATAGGGCTGGTTTTTTTGATTATTTTAGTCTGGGGTTAACAAGTCTCGTTTGGGATAGGTTTTTTTGACTTTTTTGACTTTTGTAAGAGAAAAAATGAAGCGATAATGATTTGGATGTGATATTTTGTCTTATTGAACTAAAAAATTCATTTTGTCTTTTTGTGGCTAAAATAGCCAAAAAGTTTGGCATGCCAAACGAAAGCTTAGTTATGTTAAAACTCTCTCTCTCTCTCTCTCTCTCTCTCTCTCTCTCTCTCTAAAATCTCCATCTCTCTTTAGAAACCTCCACCTTGGGCCTCATTGTTGGCTAGCCGGCCGTCGATTTTGGCCATGGCAGTCGACTGGCCTCGCCTCTTTTGTGCACTTTGTTGTTTTCCTTCTAATAAACTTGAATCCCCATAGTTTTTCCAAATCTTTTTCAGTTCTACTGAGTGTTTATGGAGGTGGGTTTCCGCCTTGGGGGGTTTTCAATCTTGGATGGTGCCTTGAACATAGGAGGGTTGGATTTGTTTAAGAACTTCATGCGGGCACCCCTTTGTGAGTGGGAGTTTGAGGGGTGGATTCCATTCAGATCTGTGGAGGTTCGGCATTGGGCCGAAAAAAGAAATGATCCTGATTTGTATAAGAGCTTCATTCGGGTGCTACTATGAGAGTGGAAGTTTGAGGGGTGAACACTTTTCAGATCTAGGAGGTTGGTCGACTCAGGTACTTTGTTGTAGCCATGGTGTTCGGCGATTTCATTCTAGAGGGAGTTGTTGTTCATGGGGTGTCCAACAATTATATTCTAGAGTGAGTTTTCTATTCAAGTATCTACAAAGGAGTTGGTTCTTGGGTATTTTGGCCATGGATTTTTCTTTGCCCATAAGAGGCGTTGGTGTTGGTGTTCATGGGTCTCGGAAACTTCACCTCCGTGGGAGGTGATGTTTCGGCTTGTGGAGGAGGTATTTTGACTTTGTAATGGGTGTGAGTATTCCACCAAAGGTGTCTTGCCATGGGTGTCTCAGTATTGGAAGCAAGCTTTGGCCATGGAGTGGGTGAAGTCCGGCAGAGTCCGACGAAAGTGATAAGGTAGTACTGTAGTCTGGCGGAGGTGACAAGCTTGGGTGAAGTCTGGCAAAGAGGATAGTTGTGGGTGACACTAAGTTATGGTTTGGGAGTAATGTGGCTGTGCTTGGGAGTTGAGAAGTCTGATTTTATATTGTCCTAATTTCTCTCGTATTGAATCTTCTTGTACCTTTAATTTTATATTTTTAATAAAATTTTCACTTTGTTGATAAAGAAAAATGATTATAAGATAATAATATAAGTGTTTCTTTTTGGATGATTTGTTTAATTGAAAACCAACAGATACTATGGCAAGGTATGGATGGGCTTGAGGGACCATGTTTGTCTGGTTCATGCTTTTACATAAAGAGAAAGGCCCTCTATGGAAGTTTCATGAAAGAAGGTATGTTGTTAAGGGGATCAAAAATTTTATTGACCCAAAAAATTTGTCTTAGATTTTTATCTATGATGTGTTTGTGTAGTGAAAATTAGATTTGTATAGCTTGAAGTCTAATTATAGGGTGAATTTGAACAATAGATTCATATTTCTCAATAAAATTGAGGATAAAATTTTTGAGTTTATATTTAATAGGACTAGTTGGACCCCATGTGCTTCGCAAAAATAAGATACACCACAATATACAATATTATTAAGGTGCCTTTAGATATTTTTAAGGTCGTAATATCAATCAACAAATAAACTTGATTAGATATAAAAATTTGAGTTTGGGAGTGTTAAATTCAAATTAGGTACCATCTCTATGTAGAAAAAAAAAAAAATTGCAATGAAGAAAATCACATATTAGATTGTCTTGTTTAACATATGGCTTAACCATAAAAATATGTAATCCTATTTGAGCGTTGTTGTTCATTAGTTGCTTGCATGAATGATTAGGTTGAATGGATAAAATCAGAGCAATTGCTAATTTTTTCATTGTGTTAACCACCCAAAAAAACATTAGAAACAAATAAATCCTGCCAATACATATTCACCCTTCCCATATTTGATTTGATTTTTAAAAGCTTGTTTCAATTTTTTTAAATAAATATTAATTTGATAAAATAAATAAAAAAATCAAAAATACTTATCACTTTTATATAATTTTATCTTTTGCGATGTCAAAATTAATTTTTTTATCAATTTTTTCAATAAAATTTTTTATTTTTGATTTTTGATTTTTTTTTTAAAACAACCCAAACCACCCATTGTTTCTTTTACAAAATATCTTAGTTAAAAACCAAGTATCTAGACAAACGTGCACCGAACAATGGTAACTTTGATAGAAAGACATGGCAGCTTTTGGTTGGCGCAGCCAACATGTATTCTCAACACAGGTGGCTAAATTTCAAAGAAGATATTCAAAAATAATTTTTTGGAAAGAGTTTGGAAAATTTGAAAATTTATTTGGCTGTGTATTTTGAAAATATTTTTAGAGTTTGGGATAATTTGATATTTTTTTGTAGTTGAATAGATGAATGTGAGAGAAAAAGTGATTAAGAAGAAGAGAGAAGAGAGAAAAAGTAATTTATTGATGTGTAATAGAGAGAAAAGTGATTTTGAAAATTTGTTCTCCAAAATTTTCATCCAAACATGTTTTTGGAATTTTTTCTCCAAAAACATATTTTCAGAGACAAACCAAATATGTTCGTAATTTCTCATATGAATAAGACAAGCATATTCAATTGCTATAAATCTATAACCCATATATAAATCACAAAGCAGCCATATAAGTTATTGTTTAATTATTAACTAACCTTCTCTTCACCTAAGGCTCTTCTTCAACTTCACTGTCATTAGGAATGGAATTAATTATAATAAATGGTTTTGGGAAAAACAATTTTTTTCTAAAAATTTT